CTCTCTCTCTCTCTCTCTCTCTCTCTCTCGCGCGCGCTCTTTCTTTCTCTTTCTTTCTTTCTCTCTTTCTCTCTCTCGCTCCCTCTCCCACTCTCTCTGGTGTGCCCTCTCTGTCCACCTCTCTGCCCACCTCTCTCATCCACACCTTCTCTCAAGTATAATTCTCCTTCTCTCTATCGTCCTACGCTTTCAATCTCTCCCTCCCTTCCTCCATTACCTTCTCTTTCTCTTTCTCTCTTCAAATAGATTTAACCGTCATCACCTTTCAACCCGTGCCGCGTGCGTCAACTAGTTAGTGATCAAGTTTGCTGTGTGATTATGACTCCGGTCTATAGACGGGGCGCGTTCTTTTGAAGGCGAGAATATTGCGTTGACCTTTCCTCCATCTGGACCATCGATTCCATCGTCCCGTACAGCTCCGGGTGACACGACTCACAGATTCACGGCACTCTAGCGCAAGTATAGTCAAACAAGCTCTGTGCGTGCGCGTTCATGCCTATAAGCGCGCACGCGTGGTTATATATGCAGTAATGTATACGCATACGTAAATGTTCATGCTGCCGTCGGTACACTAGAAGTTTAATAGTTAGACAAATTTTAAGACTGTCTGTTCATCTTCCGTGTTCGTGAGCAGGATACAACAGCGATTAAATTTAGCATTGATCTGGCTGCATGTGCAGTCGTGCATATTGGTATTATAGTCGTGTATTCATAAACCATGCGGCACGGTTACATGAACCCACGTTCGCACATTGCAGCTCTTTCAGTGCAAGCGATAGTTCTTTCCTAAGGATTCATGAATGCGGTTAGTGGGGCAGCGCCGCACGCATACATCCCCTTATATATGCGGGCGCTATAGTTATTAAATAGTTGCACGGGTTATTACTGCCAACAACCTAACGAGCAATTACGCGCACATACAGACATACGCGTGCACACACTCGCACGCGCACGCACGTTCATACAACTAATGGCGATGGCAGGCTTACAGCCGTTTCGAGTGCAGTACATTTAAAATATTTAAAGGAAATAGCTTACATCTATACGCTGGTAATAAAACTTTTTGCGCCGCGGTGCAAGGAAGCCTAATCTTATTTACAACGACATCCACATCAATAATATAGCTTTAATGCTGGTACTATTCCTAGGGGTGCAAGAAGGGTTGTGATCAAAACCGCACGATGGTCATAATCCATTGAGTAATTTTAACATTTAATAGCTGCTTTCGACGTTATTAGCTTGATGCATTTTACTCACGTTCTTTGGTTAAGCAGCAGTTGTCCAGTTTGCCTAGCTAGAACTATACCGTTATGGAATTGTTACAAATGGAGCCGTTATTTTTATCTTCATTCGCCGTCATAATACAAACAATCTTCCAGTGACATTAATTTGCACATTACTACAGTACGTATGCTCGGGTAAATAGAGTACTCCGTTTACGGGAATCTGTGAATTGAGATTTCTTCTCCAGGGTTTATCAATATTCGTCTGCTATCCCGTGCAGGATGCGTGGGCTTAAAAATCTCAGTATTTACGTATAATACGATTGACCGCGCCCAGTTATTGAGACGTTTTCGAAACAGTCGTAAAGTTACGACAAACCTACTATTGGTTCTGAATGTACCTCGGAACTAAAAGCCTCCCACGCCAGACGCGAGGCGACATTTCACTTCAGCAGATATATATACGTACTACACACTGGGGCAGTGTAATACACCGAGATTGCTCATGCATGCCAACGCTGCGCTGTGCAGCGTCGCGTCTTCAAAGCCGTGCGAAGTTCGCGTTCCGAACTTTCATATCGAGCCTATCATTTCAGTCACGTGCGCAAACACATTCTGTGAAGACAACGAGGAGGCGAAACATCAGAGAAATATAGTTTCGTCTCGTGCGAGGGCGATGCGACCTATATGAGGCAAGTTTACCGACCCACAACGGCAATCATGCGAACGCATGGATGCGAATTCGAAGTAGATGATCGCGACTAGTGATTTCGTCCTCTGTCCACGTCAATCACTCAATGTTATTTCTTCGTTTCTATTCATCCTCGGTGAGTGCGTTAGTTAGTGAAAGCTGGCATGGCGTTTGGCATGACTTACACACAATGAGTATTCCCGGCGAAAGTCACAATGCCCGTAACGAAAGAGATGATGACGAACAGACTACATGAGATGACATATATATAGGCTGGGACTCTGAGAGCCGGCGCGTGCCTAATTTGCGCTGGGTCACACATGCGGGCGTGCTGGTTGGTGTCAGGGTAATTAGGAAGCCTTCGCAGCGCTGTCACCAGTAGGTGTGAACGCCGATGCAATGTTCTGTAAAGCGACGGGCAGATAGGGGTGATAGGCGGCCCCACCTCATTAATTATAAATAAGCTGCCAAGTGTTCGCGGATTCGCTCACACCGAAACATGGGGAAGAGATGTGTTAACGCATGTCAAGTTTACGGATAAATAATTACTATTTTGTTGAAATAAATATTAATTGTAAGGTGCATATAATCTACTTACCTAAAAAGTTGGTCTACCCATTCCCTGAACATTTTTCTTGCCCTCTCGTTCTAGGACTTTGTTTAGCGTGCACTCCCTGTATAATGCATACATTTGTCGTGGTTCACAAACCCCCGGCTGCTGAGAAAGGATTGGTATATCATGATCAATGATACATCAAAAGCCCCGCTGCTTGGTTTTCGAAAGCTATACAAAGGTCGTGAGGGTTTGTGAGCTCTGATCTCATTCACTTACAAAACTAAAGGCGGAATCTGCTATAATTAGCACGAGAATATATATTAGCCAATTAAGCGACAACAACATTGCGCTGGCTAGAGTACGCTGCAAGCAAACAATTAATACGTGGATACTGCATATAGAGCGGATGACGAGCCTAATTTGGATGGCTAAAGATCAGCATATATTGATTAGCGTGATGCGCGGACAGCTATCATTATGCTTCATACCGTGACCAATGAAAGTGAATATTTATAGGTGTGATCGACGCAAAGGCCTTCTTATGAGATTATATAGAATTCCGCCGACAGGCGTATTTTTCCTAGCAGCATGGCTTTCTCCAAGCTCTGTTAAACCGTCGAATTGCTGCCTCTCTTTGATCCCAAATTGATTATTCACACCATGCACTCACTCACCAGAGTACGATATTAGGCCTACTCTTATTACGATATTACGATATTAGGCGATGTATGAACGCAAGTTCTTTCTTCTTCCGCACACGCCAGTTCCTACGCCTAGAGAGATGACGAAGAGGTGGGGGATGAAAAAAAGAAGCAGGGAAAGCAGGTAGAAGATGAGGAAGCAGAGCGTCATAATGATAATGACAATGATATATGGAAGGGAGCTTGAGTAGATAAAGAAGAAGAAAAGGGGGTGGAATGAAGAGACGAGAAAAAGACTCGAGAGGGAGATCGCAAGACGATGAAGAATAGGAAAGGCGGAATAAGTGCGCATGGGGTGAGAAGAGGAGGAAGGAGAGACGAGGAAGAGAAAGCGAAGCAAAGTGTTTTCTACTTCTGATTCGTTACTATAAATACACCATACGAACACCACACTCCACACTCACACACACACACACACACGCATCAGGGCAGCCACGCACGCACGCACGCACGCACGTCACACACACACACACACACCACACACACATATATA